AATTTTTCAAATCGGACCAGTAGTTCCTGAGATTAGTGCGTTCAAGTAAACAAACAAACAAACTCTTCAGCTTTATAATACGAGTATTAGTATAGATGTATCCAATATCCATATACAAGACAACAAACCTATCAACTGCATGTAGACGAAGACAAATGTACCTATAACACTGGTCAACACATGATTTTTTTCCTTCAATTTTTTTCTGTTATTGGGTATTTCTATGGCCCTGATTATGAAAAAAATACTGGGAGATCACCAACAGCTTTACTTTTTAAAATATAGAGTTTTATTATTTTGACAAAAAAATAAGAAAAATTATACATTGTGCTAATAAAATTTCTATTGAACACTAGCAAATGATCTTTTATATGATTTCCTTAAATAGGCAAGTTTGAGTAGATCTCGTTGCATACTCCAGCAATGGTCTGCCATTCATATATGAGCACCACGCCCCTGATAACCTTCTTCCATTGTCAGAAAATTCCAATGAAAACTTTTATCCTGCTCCTCACTAAAATCACCCACATTTTGTGGAAATCGATGTTAATGCGAATATATGAAGTGTATTTTTATTCCCATGTTGCATCCTAGCTCTTGCAAGTTGGATAGCATGCTCTCAACAATCTCTTTTTGCTTAGGAAATTACTTATAATAAAAAAAAATCATTTTAAGCTTAGGACTGGACTTCACTCATTGATTTCTTAAATTACGATCATTCACCAGTTGCCTAATGCGAGTCCCATCAAAAATTACCAGCTTTTAAGTTTTCTGTGCTTAATCCTGAAAAATTGCGTGAAAGAAAATTAAAACATTCGTCACTTTTGTCAGGTGCCTTCACAAACTGTTTCAAGATGCCGAACTTAATATAAAGTGGTGGAAGTACGGTGATACGGTCTTGGCTAACTAAAGGCACGTTTATAAAATTGTTTGTATCATAAAGTATTATAAAGTTGTGTGTGCGGGAAGCCGCACTGGTCAATTTTTTTGTAACCAATGCTATTGTTTGTTACGACTATTCCAGATACATATGGAACGGGAATTTTGTGTAGCCCCCTTGTTGGCTTAAAAGATGTTACCTATTCTCAGAACACAAGTGACCCATTTGTGGTCTTGATTACTTAATTTCAAATATTTATATTAAAGTGTCGATGTTACGCAGTTTTCATCAAGTCCGATAGATCTTTTCGATGTTTTTCAAATATTATATTTACCACAAACATAGCAGAAGCCATCTGGATTAAGCACACAACATCTTCATAACGAAGCAATATCGAAAACACCAACAAAATATATTTTTTTGTCCAATTAAATCAAAAATCTAAGTAAAAATATTAAATGAGGGTAGATAGCTATAACTTAAAAACAAAAGCTGTTAGAGAAAAACTGTTGCCATATTTAAAAAATATGCGTCAATTTGAGATAGAAACAGAAAAAAATCACAGGAAACAAACAATTTTATTTTTTTTGTTGACCAGTGTAATCGAACATCCCACACAACGTGCTAAATAAAATACATGAAATTAATTTACTTTCAGTTCAGTCGGTTTTTAAATCCCAGGTTTTACAAGTCCCGATATTATAATCTTTATTAACCCTAGCACTGCTACGGGACAAAAATTTAGACCAGTAATGGTAAGATGTAGCCCAAGAAAACTCATTCATAGCTTACTTACAGCTTCTTTCAAAATTTTAGCTCCTTACATTATGTGTTTTAATTATGTAATTAATAATTAAAATCTAAATTTATTGTAATTTATTATAATTGTAATTTATTATTATTGTAATTTATAATTAATGTAAAATGAATTTATTTTTATTATTTAATTTTTATGGTGCTTTTTTGTTTCTTTCTTTTTGTTTGTTTTCTCTTTTTCTATTGCGCCCCCTTGCTGCGTTCTCCCTGCTGCCGGACTTGTGGACTCCTTTCTCCTCTTGCATCTCCGTCAGCAGGGGTAGGTACGCCGTGACAACAGAGGGCCCCCGCTGAAAATCAGTTTCAAGACAAGTCCTGGCGGTCTTGATGTACGCTGAGCGGGTGCCTTTTTGTCAGAGGGGCACAAGCAGTTAATTGTCCACTTGTTTATTTCTCTCTGTTTTAATCTACCTACATATGTCCTACCTGCTTGTATACCTTTCTTGCAAATAAAAAGTTTTCTATTCTATTCTTATCATAAAATAGTTCCTTTTCATTATGGTACACACGCCAGCACATGAGGTTACCCATTTTTGATGAAAACTCGCCCCTATTACAACTGCACAAGAACCCACAGTGGTTACGTTGACGTGCCGTCATCTGTACTTTTAGTTAAGTAATTATGTAATTTAAATTTAAGTAGTAACAGTAAATATTTTAATACATTTTAGCCATAAATGAATTATCTTTATGAACTCGGAAGTTGTAACGACAAGCTGGTTTTGATTTCTCGTGTTTAAAAATAAGAATCTCGCACATAGTTTTTGATCTTAGATACCATAAGAGTGCTTGTGTGACTCTCTCTTTAAGGATTGTCAACGGGGAATAGTGGAATAAGCCCATGGAAGCCATACTCTGTGATCATGGTGATTCTGGTAATATACGAGATTATTGCGCTGCCTACAGTCAGCGTCAAATTAGTTCGTGATACCCAAAGTTGCAAAAACGTTCGCAACACGTCTTTATTACTATTGGAATAAGGTTGTGTTGTCAACTTTTTGGCCACTTAGGGTGTCACGAACTATTGACGCTGACTGTACTGTGGCTACCCCAATAACAGCCTAAGGGCACGGCTAAGTGATGCTTATTGGAAATAAAATGCCTTAACAATTTCTTCTGTTGTTCTATGCTGCACGAATGATGGTCATAAACCTCTAAGTTCGATCCGCAGTTGTTATGGTTATAGGCCATTGGCTGCGTTACTTAGATCACTGCGGTTTGCGTCGTGCTCTCGTGGCCTCCTTTTTTCGGACGTATTTTTCGATGCAAAAGATTAAAATGAACAAAATTGCGATTACAATGTTATCTACACTAATATTATAAATAGGAAATATTTGATTATTGAATACCTACTTATTTGAAAAATTCTTTTTAACATTAGAATCCTAGATTATTTCTGATGAACATAGGTGGCATGAAGTTTGCTGGATTAGCTAGTGCTTAGGTAATATAGGTGATAAATAAGCAGATCTAATAGTTTTATGCCCGTTTTCACCAATCAATCGCTAATTTTAAAGTGTTTTCATAGGGTTAACTTAAAAATTAGGGATTAATGATGAAAACAGGAATTATTATTTTTCAGGACATGTTTGGTTTTAAGCCGTAAACTGCCGTAAAGGTTCAAGTTCAAAATTATATTAGGCAAGCTAAAATATTGATTATTTTTTTATTTAAATAACAAGTATCCATACTATGCTAGTCATTCAAGAGTAAGAGTGTTCAACTAATTATGTGCAGTTAATGAACATTGTTTTGTTCCCATCATCCACTTCCATTAAATTAGTAAGTTGGTATACCTAACCTACGTCGTAGTTAAGTAATAAAATTTTTCACAACTGTATAATTTAGATACTAATTGATGAATGAAATTAAAGTTGCAGCGTTCAATTAAACCACCAATACATACACTTAATAACTTATACGAACAAACAATTCGGAACTTGAAAAATATAAAAAACATCATTTAGGCCTGAGAAATTGTCGCAATGTGAAAAGAGTAATTAGGCGGAACGCGTGCCGAACGCGGCGTGCCGTACTGGCGTCCTTGCCGGCGGTTTCACCGTGCAACCAGCAGGCTCCGATATAAATACTCTCTCGGCCCTCGTCCAGTCAGTTCGAACCTGGTGTCTACTCTTAGAACAAGCAGTCCAGGGAGACAAAATGAGGACGCTTGTCGCCCTAGCAGTATTGGGATGCGTCGCAGTCGCATACGGCCGCGAGATCGGCCAGGTCGCTGACTTGGAGACCGCGGCCAGCCATCATAAGGGCCATCATCACGAGGAGGGCGGCGGCAAGGAGCACCACGCCCACCACCACCACGAGCACGGAGAGAAGGGCCATAAAGGACACAAGGGACACCACCACCACCACAAGGGCGAGCACGGCCACCACGGGAAACACCACCACGAGGGTCACCATCACGAGCACGGCGGCGGCCACAAGAAGCACTGGGACGAACACGACCACCACGGCCACCACCACGAACACGGACACCACCACAAGGGCGGCAAGCACGGCCACAAGAAGCACCACGACAAGGGCGAGGAAGTAGAGGGCTACCACAAGAAGTACCACAAGGACGAGTACCACAAGGACCACCACTTCTACGACGACCACCACAAGGAGGGCAAGCACCACAAGCACGGACACCACCATGGCCACCACGAGCACAAGGGCGGACACCACAAGAAGGGCGGCCACCACCACTCCGGACACCACGAGGGTCACCACGGCAAGAAGGGCCACCACGACAAGCACCACTACGACGAAGACCACAAGGGCCACAAGGGCCACCACGGCCACGAGGAGCACCACCACCACCACCACGACCACGGCAAGAAGGGCGGTCACGAGGACCACAAGCACTGGGGATTCCACCACGGCAAACACTAATACTCGTACTACGCTTAGGATATTTGTTATATCTTTGTTGTTATTTTTTACATTACCTCCCTGTAAATAAAATTAACGTTGACTGAACTTTTGCGTACTTATTGTTCTTCCTACCGCATAGAATTAATTACAGACTGAGAGTAACTCCAATCGCCTTACCTAATGTCGGTACACAGTGACCATTCAATGCTTGATAAACAGCAGTTCTTTAAATAACTACGCCACAAGCATTGTTAAACCAAATACATTTTTCTCTGAATATTTAGGATAGTAAACACTATTTAATTAAATGAACAATCAACAAATGTATGAAAACAAATCAGTCATAGCTATCACTGGGCGTTGTAACGGAACTAATTGTGTTAAACCGTGCGATGTCGCCACAGCCGCAGCCGCTCGCCCAGAAATCGGTAGCAACTAACTATTGCCAAAGATCACTCTGTAATCGACGACAGATGAAAGCGTTGTTATCTATAAATTCGAGGTGCGAACACTCTTGTGTCACTCCGGTCCTGACACTCCCAGGAACCACGCTACTGAACCAGTCAAGTAAGTGTCGCTTGTTTATTAATAACACTTAAATTTTCTTTATCATAACATAGCAGAAAATAATTAATCTCCTTTAAAATACACTAACCTAATACATTTTTGTTTCAGAGCGATGAGACTTCTTCTACTGATAGCGGTGTCAGCATGCGCTGTCATAACAATAGAAGCGCGTAATGTACAGAAGGGCGAGCCAGGCGTCGCAGATGCAGTGGCGCCCACGGGCGGCGACCTGACCGCCGCCGGCACCTCGCAGGACCAGGCCTCCGCCGGCACCGAGCACAAGAAGGCCAAGGACAGCCACCACGAGGCCGGCGGCGGCCACGAGCACCACGCCCACCACCACAAGGAGGAGGAAGAAAAGGGAGGCAAAGGCTACAAGTCCCACCACCACCACGACAAAGGCGAACACGGCCACCACGGGAAACACCATCACGAGGGCCACCATGACGAACACGGCGGACACAAGAAAAAGCACCACGACGAACACGATCACCACGGTGAACACCACGAAGCCGCACACGGACACAAAGGTGGCAAGTTCGGCCACAAGAAGGGACATAAGAAGGGTTCCAAAACGACCGGCTTCCACCACAAGTCTCACAAGGACGAGTACCACAAGGAGCACAAGTTCTACGACGACTTCCACAAGGGTGGACATCACCACAAGCACGGAGATTTCCACGGCCACCACGACAAAAAAGATGGCCACCACAAGAAGGGTGGTCACCACGAGAAGGGACACCACGAGAAGCACCACGGCAAGAAGGGCCATCACGACAAGGGCCACTACGACGAGGACCACAAGGGCCACAAGGGCCACCACGGCCACGAGGAGCACCACGCCCACCACGAGGAGCACGGCAAGAAGGGCGGCCACGCGGGCGGCAAGGAACATGGATACAGCCACGGAAAGAAAGCATAAACAGAACGCAGTCACTTGTTATTGTTACACATTTTTGTTGTTTATTATTTTTATTTCAAACGAGTCATGTTTTGTTAATTTATTGAATAAGAAAATTATTTAAACATTTGGTTAGGTTAATTAAGTGAATACTGAAAAATCGAATCAATTGGAAATGAAACTGGTTATGAAATTATAATTTTAGAAATAAAAATAATATTTTACTACATCACTAGTTTAATTTTAAACAAAAAGTCGTATCATTATTGATTACCTACCTACTTGTTCAATGGCCCTTTCTTTACGCAAAGTGCCCACAACATCATTACTTTTTGCTATTGTCATTACATAAATTGATTTCTTGGCATTACACAATCGTAGTTGATGTTAGCAAGCTGATTGAATAACGAAATAAATGAATCTACAGGACTTTGCTCTGCTATGTAATCAAAGTCAGTAATAAATTAAATACCTAGTTGTTTGCAGTAGTGTCGTTTATGGAACGGACTCCATTTTTGACTTTAACAATCATGTAGTGTAGGTAGAAGCAGGTCAAGGGGCATATTATTATTATCGCTAATACCGTGAACAATTCGTTTTTGTGTGTGCTTAAATATGTGTAAAATTTATAATTTTTGGGTTTGAAAATATATATAAGTAAGTACATTTACAGTGAAATAAATATCTTAAATACAGCCGAACACACTCCTCCTTTTTTAAAGTCGGTTAGTGTAAATCGTCATGAATGCCGCGTGCCGAGGTCCCAGGTTCGATTTTCTATCAGAAATTACAGGAGCAAAATATAGCTGCAAACGCCAAGTTCAGGTACCTAGCAAATAATACGAAAATCACTTACCATAATTCGACTGTGATGGAGGTCCCAGGGTACGACCATATTCGATTTTCATTGGATTTTATTGATTTTTTCTTGTTCCTCTGACATCTTCTCTTAGCCCATAATCCTACCTTCAACATTAAGTAAATGTTAGGTACTGTTTTCTAAATATATAACTATGGTTAGGGACAGTTTGGAAAAACAAATTAAAACTCAGATTGATGTGCATTCTCCCAATCTTGGATACTGATATTAATTTTGGTAATAAAAGCCAAATGTGTCTATCAGTGTTTTTTATAAACAATAAAATTAGGGTGTATATTTTCAGGCTATTGCTTTTCAACTTAAGGTTTTGCTAACCTTACTGTCCATCCCATATACCGTAGTAAAATCCAATTTGTACAAAATGTTTTTAGCTTAACCAAATACTAAACTTAAAATTCTGTGTATTTACTTGCTTATGTACCTATTTTTACTCTGCATTAGCATAGTCATTGTGCCTTTAGGGAATGCATCACTATAATGTGAAGTGTATAAATACTCAGATTAAAATTAAATAAGGAGTTTCTGTTTCAATACATTACCAATTAAAAAGCATGAATTATGTAGATAGCACAAAATTTATTGTAAAAATATAACTGTAAATCTACAAGAGTGCCATAAGAGGAGCTAAGTGCTCAAACTCAATCTTCTCCGTGATGTTCTTAGTCTTAATATTTTCGTCCTGGTTGGCAATGAAGATTAGGTTTCCTTCGTCTTTCCAGCCATATTTCTTTACCCAGTGCTTTAGTGTGACATCTGAAAACACATTGTTGTTATGACTATTGTGTATAAATGCTAATTATTATCTCAAAACTGATGATGTTTCTCAGCAAAAAAACAGCTGTTGCAGCAGCTTTTTCAAGTTAGGAGAATTAATTACCATCAATTCCTCCCAAAAGGTTGGCAAGATTGTTTTTGTCGATGGTCTGGAAGGTGATTCCAACTACGTGGCACACAAACTTGCGTATTGAATCGTGGAACCCACTGATGCGGCTGCACAGCTCGGGCATTTGATGCACACGGTTCCAGAACTGAGCAAAGTCACACTGCTCAAGGATATCTGCCAAGTATTTTATCTGAGAAATAGTCTCGTTTTCAACCTGAAAGTCACAAATAAATTGAATTTAATAAAATAAATTTATCTTGGATTTAGCTGGTAGGTAAAATTAAATTTCTTATTTCAAGTAGTATAAGTATTTTTCATTCTTACTACAGATTCAAGCAACAAGCACTTGCAAAGGGTGAAATCAGTATGTGGGAAGTTGGTCAGTGCTTTCAAAAGGATCTGGCAGGTAATATCTGGGTTGAATTTCTCCGGGTTAAACTGGTACAGCTTCAAGACTGCCAAGTTTGCTTCCAAGTCGTAGGTATTCTCACGTGACTGCATTTCTACATATCGCTCCAGTGTCTGAAGATTGGCGGGGTTATACCTATAACAAAACAGTACACTCACTCAGTTAATAAAGGTGGTAGCATTAAAACCTGAACTACCTAACCTCTTCTGCATTAATGAGACTAACCTTTCAATACTTCTTAGTATACTTGCAACCGTCTGTTTCATAGTTTCTGCCATTTTGAATATTAGATATTTATTTATGAAACACAAGCACTAAACTCAGAATTAGTGTAATACGAAGATGTTTTTCAGAAATACTTGATGATGGATGATGCCGTGGTGTTCCGTGAATTTTGACAGACTTGACATTTTTGTAGTTGTCAAAAATAGGGATGCATCGATGCGATCAGTTCAATTGATACTTGAATCGCAATAATCGTGAATGTGTTTAGGTTTAATTTTTAATACTACTTTTTCAAGCAAATTGCCAAATCCCGCCACACCGCTCACAAATAAAAAAATACAAAAGTGTTGTTTTAGCTTAGATAATTCAAAAGAAAACCATTGTGGCCCGTGGCCGTAACCAACAGACACTACTTCAAGTTTAAATTTATATCGATTGATATCGATATATGCCAGTCTTATTCAATTACATTAGATGTGGAATAGAAACGGTACTTCACTATTTGACCGAGATCGTGTGGCCTGCGGCTACCGACTGAAGTGATTTTTTTGATACACACACAATCAGATTAAAAAACTTTTTAACCATGCTGCATGTAATTTTAATGAGCTGGGTCACTTGCTGTAAGATTTTTATAACCGAAGATGATATAAGCAAATTATTACAAAATTAGGGAATTTATAGCTTAGAAAAAGCTAACGCTTTGATATCAGTTACCACAGTAAAGAATATAATCAGTAATCTAAACTCTTATCTAGAAGAGAAAGTAGAACAATGATAGTTTTTTCAATTTGAAATTTCAAGTTACCAAATAAATCAACAATACAGAAAATTTAGCTTTATTAATAATACTATTATTAATTACAATTATAATTACTTATTGCTAATGCCTTACAAAAATAACTTATATTATGAACACTGCCATCCTCACTTTATACTAGTAAAACTATGTTATACTAATGAAACTATTGTTTCTTAAAACTTTTTAGAATAGGATAAATATTGTCAAAGGCTTCATAAATCTCTTGTCGAACTTTGGCACCAGTTAGCACAACTTTTCCGGAAACAAATATTAATAACACTATCCTAGGTTTAACCATTCGGTATATAAGTCCGGGGAATAACTCTGGTTCATATGAACTGAACTGGCCGTGAGTGAGGACCAGACCTTCTAGTCGTATTGGGAATTTAACATCACAACTGCCCACCATGTTTTGTATTTTGAAGTCCAAGAACTTGGCCTGTAAAAGAAATTATTTACATGTTTATACTAAAGTATTTTAAAAATAGTGTCATTAGTTATGTGATGATTTATTTGCATTTGAAAAAGGGTACATTAAGGATGTTGTTAATAACATTAAGTTCAGCTTTTTCAGCCAAAATAAATGGCATGCAAAATTACATTAAACAACAAAAACTCCACAATGTAATTACATGACCTAGTTTCTGAAGCAAGTATATCTACTTGTAAATGTATTTATAAATAAATATAAATACATTTTCTTATTATTAAATTAAATTAAATAATCTAACCATTGGAATATAATACTTACTGTAAATCCAAGTTTCTGAATAATCCTAGCATATTTCCTAGCAGCCAGTCTCGAGTCTTCTTCACTTTTAGCACCTGTGCACACCATCTTTCCCGAGGAGAATATAAGTGCAGTGGTCCGGGGTTCTCTTATTCTCATGATCACCGCAGCAAAACGCTTAGGGTTGTATTCTGCATTACGCGCATGGAGTGCAATCTTTTTCAGATCTAGTTTGCAGTTCAAGTTAACAGTAGATACAATATTTCTAAAATAAAACAACAAACTTATTAGTCATAAATTATAGTCCTCGGTACCGAGTTAAAATCTAACTTCCTTCTAGAAATACCACAGCATTAATATTACCACACTATTTAAAAAAATACCATACTCACTGTAGTTGAGGAAGTATGCCAGGGTCAGCAGAGTGTGGAGTCATTGGAGTCATAGGCGCTGGACTAGCTTGACTGAGCATCGGCTGGCCCACTAGACTGCCACTAGTAATCATTGGCGACATGAGGTTTTGCTGGAAAAAAGCAATAATTTTCAATACTCAATACTCAATAGTTTATTGCTTCCATAATTTTATTTTATAGAATAGTTTGTAATTTGTCATTCATAGGTGGCTCTTAATAAAAAACCATTAGGTCAGTACTCACCGGTGTCTGGGGCTGCATCATTTGCTGAGGAGTAGCATAGCTTGCGGTTGGCGCGTAAGTATGCATAGTTCTTTGAGGTGTACCCAAACTAAAGCCCACGAGAGGTGAAGCCATCGTTGCGAGGGTGTGTGATTGTTGCTGCTGCTGCTGCTGGTGTTGTTGCTGCTGCTGCATAGCATTTGGTAAGATTTGCTGATCTTCTTCTGGCTGATGGAGGGGTGTACCGATTCCCGGTATATTATATGGACTTGGAAGCATTTGATCCATTTTGAACAACTATTAAGAACTACGAATAACCTATAAAACTTTGCAGCGCTAAATTTATTGAAATTAAAAAACAATTCCACTTTGTTTTAACGTAAAACAAAACTGCTCGCCAAGCCAAATTGTTCGTGTCCGTTCTGTCAAAAATCTGTCACTGTCATCAAATTTTTTTTTCGTCAATAGTGTTTTTTCTATTTGCCGGACAGGTCAAAGGCGTATACATTATAATTCTCACATGTAAATTACTTTTTTATAATCAGCTAACTCAAAAATTTCATTATTTTCTAAGGTTTGGTAGTGGTTCTTGAAGACTACATTTACTTGAACTTGAATCTGAACTTGAAGCGCGTGTTTCGCTACCCCACACAATGTAACACAAACGTGATGACCTTAGAGTTTAAATGGCACGTCTCGTGCTAGAAAAAAGTGTATAACGAAAAAGAAGATTTAGCCAGTAGCCCTGCATCACTTATCATCCATAGAGAAGGGGGCGTCGTAAGGGCCAAGGGGCGTGGCTTATTGATAAATATCCGGATTCCGGTAACCGGTTTGTCCATCTGTCAGTCAAGTCAACCAACTTGTCAAGTTATTTCTGTTCTCCAAAACTCCAAAATAACTTTTCTTAAAAAAGTTGCGATTGTGAAAGGCTGCTAAATAGGAATACTAAATATATTACCCTAACGCTATGGGCACAGACACAGAGAAGGAAGCAGGTTCTTACATCCTCAAAAGCTATGGAGATTTTTTCAAAAAACAGTACCAAGATCTTGCTTTACTCAGTAACAACAGTGTATGGGATGGAAACAAAACATTCTTGCCGATACAAGTTCTTATGGAGCCCAATGAACACATATCGGTAACGAAATTGGTTGCATCTGATAATACATTGATGACTAAAGTTTTGGGTGTTTTATCTTCACTTTGTGTAGAGGTGATGGAGCTAAAAAAGGAGGCGTTTGAAAGGTATGTTACAGATCAACAACAATGAGATGCATAATATTGTTAAAGTAATAATTTTGCCACTTTAAATAATATTTAAAGTAGTTTAAACATACTTCGTCTTGCACCCAAGGCACTATTTGTAAAAAAAAGTAAATAAAATATTAATTTTTTACAGATTTTTTCCATTCCTAGCAGTTTATGAAGAGTATGCTAGTAGTGAGGTTGCCTCTCAGATGGAAATCATATGTGAACTGAATGCTTTCGTTATACGCTGTGAGGAAAGCTTGAGAAATCTGTGCTCTCAAGTGTTTGCTGTGTACACAGAAGGAATAATCAATCTAAGTATGTATTTAACTATGCGTAAGAGTTATATGAGTATTTCTTCTACTAGCTATTTTGTTAATTACAAAACCTTGTGGGATATGATGCTCAACCACAATAAGGAAGCTAGATGTTAGTGCTTCCTTCCGAGCGGGTGTTATGCTCGGGGACCAAGGTCCAATTTACACCATCTTGGTTTGCCTATATATACTTGGCAGGATATAAAACTCCGTCACCGCGATGCAGGTTTGTATGAGCGGCGGAGTGTGCCATAGTGAAGTAGTGACAGCGCCATCTGTTGGTCACTAGTTTGTAGTGGCGTCGCCACACCACTCCCCCCGGAAGAACCGGAGGTGGATGACGTCAGGATGAGCTCAGCAGTCTGTGCGTGATGAGCTTACAATTGCCAGTGTGCTCAAGTCTGCGGTGAGTCGAGACGAGCAGGTTGCGGTGCTCTATCCACGGTGAGTCGGGATAGTGAGCGGAGGCGTCTTCGATGGTCGGGCGTGGAGCTGGGCCAGAGCTGTACCTGTGACCAGTGAAGTGACGGTTGCTTGCTGCCGAGGAAACCAGGAAGGTCGGTTGCGATCTGCGATGGTCCCTGAAGGCTGGATGCTGGCTTGTTGAAGACTGGAGCTGATGACGGAGTGGCGGAGATGGTGAGGATGGCGGAGGCTGATGCCGAAGATGGTGGTGATGGAGGTTGCGTCTCACATCACGTCGGGGTCACCAATGTGGGATATGATGCTCAACCACAATAAGGAAGCTAGATGTTAGTGCTTCCTTCCGAGCGGGTGTTATGCTCGGGGACCAAGGTCGAATAAAATGGCCTTACCATAAGTTTTAGACAAACAAAGTGGATAATTATTCTACTTTCTGTAGCTTTCTCAATGATAATTCATTAGGAGATAGAGAAGTAGTGCTTCAGTAATGCACACCAATCAGATTATTGGTAAACTAATTACTTATTGTGTATTTTTTTAGACGGGATCCAGCTACATTATGTAATCAATCACATTGGAGAATTATTCACGCTGCTTGTTTTGCTGGAGCTCCTCATATCCAACTGTTCTTTGTCTACAAAATGGAGCAAATACTGCAAAAGCCTAGAAGCTTACAGGGACTCCCCTGACAGTCTAGATGTCTCAGACTTTGAAGCCCTAACTACTGCCATAAAGAACATTACAACTAAATTGATGAATGATGACATTGTCCAAAGCTCTTTGCAAAGTCTTTTGTCACTCAGAAAGAATTTGGTGGACAAAAACTGCTCAAACGCTTCATTAGAATTCACACAGTATTTAAAACAAGCCATAGCCAACTTAGATAAATTAGTACAGGAGAAACCTAATGTCACCAACATGTACAAATGTATCAAAATGAATTCCCTTTTTGTGCTGAGTTCACATTTATTTGGGAACAATGATAAGAAAGTTTTTAAATCTCTAATAGATTTAAACACAAAGGTTGGTTTTTTTATTTTTTATGCTAATTTACCAACTTTGGTATTTTTCATTTATCAACTAAATAATTATACTCTCTTTTTCAGGCACACAGCATTCATGTAATAGGGACAACAATTTGGTTTCCAGAACAGTTTCTTCAAAGACATTTACCAGCACTCTGTGGAAGCCATGGAAAAATAGCCCAGACAATGCTGAAAGCGCGCCAAGCACACATAAGTGCTAAAAAAGGATCCCTCACAAAAGACATTTCTTATCTCCAGTCTTTATGCACTCAGTGGGCTTTATCAGTAGAAGACACCTTCTCATCAAGCCATAACAAGCTGTGTGCAGCAGAAATGACCCAACATGCTAAAATACTTCTAGAAGGCTTAGAAATCACATCCAATATTAGTTACTCTATCCTGACACTTATTAATTTACACCTATCACTTGGCATACCACTATCCAAAAGTGTGCTCATGTCATCATTTGAAATAATAGATATGCTGAAAAGTTTACAAAATGTGGTTTTGCGAAATCACTATCCAATAATTAGCTCTATCAACATGATCATACAGCATTTGATATTCCAAGCCACCATGTCTGTGCAAGAAGTGAGGAAAACTTTAATGACTGACAAAAATTACGCAAATAAAAGACTTGATGAACTCACGTGCATTGTGATTGCAGAGCAAGCTTTAAAAGGAGCTACGACTATGGAGAGAAACATAGCTGCGAATATAGCTCTAAGCTTTGTGCCAGACACCACATATTTAGAAGATAGCTATGCAAGACTTGGTGTTCTGCTTGAAAAAGTTCAAACACTTTCCAGTTTTAAGAAGACCTTTGAAAACTTGTGCAACTGCTCCTGGATGCTGTGGCATCAGAACATTGTACCCATTTACTTTGAGCAGAATTTCACCACTCAATTGAATGCTTTAAAAGTCAAGTATTTTCTAATGGTATTAGAAGACTGTTTTACAATGCTTCACAAGACTGACACCCTTTATGAAATGAATAAATCTCAAGAATTTCTCAGTGACATGAGAAATCTTATTGATGAAAAAATACTCAAAACTACAAGTCAGAATATTGAAACCAATCTCAGATTACATATTCATTCTCACCTGCAACTGGATGTTGTTAATCCATTTACATCTGATATAACAAAGAAACTATTACTGGCTATTGATAATTTTCGTATTCAGAATGTGTATTTGTGCGTAGTGCCATCAGTGGAGCACTATCTGTCTACCATGTATTATAACTTGACCACGGTTGTATTGTCAGACTGGAAAACTTATGGCGAGATGCGACAAATGGCGAAGTTCAAGTTCAATCTTCGCACTGTTCAAGACAACCTCCCCACGCAAACCCTCGAGCAAGGCTTAGATGTGTTGGAAATAATGCGAAACATTCACATATTTGTCGCTAAGTACTTGTACAATCTGAACAATCAAATATTTATTGAAAAAAGCAGCAATAACAAGCATTTGAATTCAATTAATATCAGGCACGTCGCTAATTCAATAAGAACTCATGGCACTGGCATCATGAACACGACAGTCAATTTCACTTATCAATTCTTGAAGAAAAAGTTTTTTACCTTTTCCCAGTTTATGTACGATGAACAAATTAAGTCTAGATTGATAAAAGATCTGCGGTACTTCAAAGAAATTTCTGTTACAAGCGGAAATATGTATCCCTATAGGAATGCTGAGAAATTCAATAAGGGTATCAAGGTGCTTGGAACAGATGAAGATGGACAAAGTTACTTGGATCTGTTCAGAGATCTGATCAGCCAAATTGGGAATGCGATGGGGTACGTGCGAATGATAAGGTCTGGCGGCAGACATTGCTGTTCAGACGCAACTGTGTTCTTGCCGTCACTAGAAACTACGAGTTCATTCAAAGAATTGAGCGACGAATGTGGTTTGGGACCCAAAACAATTAACTCCGCTGAAAATTTAGACAGCACTATCAATGGTTTGCTGACGAACTTTTTACAGGGTACGGAATATTTTAAGTTGCTCGTCGATGTGTTTGCGCCAGTTTTCAGAAACCCCAAAAACGTTCACCTGAAGAATTTCTTCATTATTGTGCCGCCGCTGACTCTTAACTTCGTAGAGCACATGATATTATCTAAAGATAAAATGACAAAGAAAAATAAGGCTGGGGCAGCATTCACTGATGATGGTTTCGCGATGGGAATCGCTTACATTTTAAAATTATTGGATCAGGTAACTGACAATTAAAAACAATATTTTACCTAATGTTAAGGTACCATTGTGGTCTCAAGAAATGTATTTATAAATGTAAATGTTATTTTCAGGATTCTGACTTTGAATCTTTACACTGGTTCGATGCTGTATGGAAGCACATATCTACTGAAAGAAAAACCCTTGAAGAACAGAAGACTAAAGGGTCAGTTCAACTGCAGCAAGCTTTA